ATAATTTCTGTTCAGCTCACTTGGGTAAATCAGTTTCCTATTAATCAGAGTACTGTGGCATTTTCATTTTTCTTTCTTAAAAAGTAAACATAATTTTAATACCAGTTCAAGTGTGACTGAATGTGTATCCTATTTACCTCAAACATGAGAAGAAAAGCTTGTCAAGTCTGATCCCAAACAGGCAACACACAAAGATCACTAGAGTTGTAATGGCTCTTTCTTCTTCCTGGGCTTTTATTGCACTGAATTGCCAGACCATGAAAAATATATAAATCAAGTAAATAATCAACTATTCTAGAAATTCCTGTTTAATTTGAATTTAGAGTTATGATTCACTTATTTTCATTTATTTTTCACTGTTGTTTTTTCAGGTGGTGCCCTGGGATGCCAAAATCAGTATGTATGATATGACTAAGGTGTATGTCCATGCTTATACTCCGTGTTTTGTATTTGGGGTACAAGATTCCTTTTCTTTAAAATTACAGATGTACGAAATTCAGACTACTGGCAACAACATGTCTGAAGAGTTGTGCTTTTGATTCACTATTATATGACAGCAAGCCATCAGCTGGAGAATCACCTCAATAATGCTTGAAGTACTCTTTAAGGTTACCAGACCACTGCTTATATCTATCAGGATTTTTAGATGTTATCATGAAGATAAGCGTCAGAAGCCACAAAAATAAAATTATCATTAAGGATTATTCTGTACAATACTCATAGGTAATCGCAGGCTTTTTTTTCTAGCCTGTAAAAATAACCTCATGCATGGTCATTGTCAACTATTAAAAGCAGAAGAGATGACTCCTCTAAAGTCCGTTCAGGTCACACAGGGTAGTCTGTCACTAAGGTTGCATAAAGTATTATGGTGAAAAAAAATTTTACATTTAATTAATCAATAAAATAATTAATTTAATATTAAGAACAATCTTTCCCTGGCTGTGCTGTGACTTCATTATTTTTCACATTTTTCAATGAAATCTGCAAAATAAAAAGATGTCAGATTTGAAATTTAAATTATTTTTGCCATCAAAGCATAACTTAGCCCCTCAAAACCAAGGGATAAAACTCTTCTATACCTGCTTTTTTTCTATCTCTGACAACATTTCCAACACTGCTCACTTTTCCAATAAATCCACAATTGCTTCTTGACCTTCACTTCCACAGAAATTAGTGAGACCTGAGGGAAATGAGCCTTGCAGGACAGGGTCTCAGAAGCTCAAATCATAATAAATAAAGTTATCTGTAGTATTCTATTGATATAGAAGCTTCCAACTAATTAATTTTTAAAATGAAATAGTGAAAAGATTCTCTTTTATTGGTTGAAATAACATGAGCTATGTAATTCACAGCTATGTAAGTGAGGAGCAAAGAAGTCTGCAGAGCTAATCCACCTCCATGCAGATTCCCTTGTGATGTGTATAGCTTCTTTGACGAGTACAGCTTCTTTGCCGTGTACAGCTTCTTTCTATAACATACTGTATGAAAGCAAGCTGAAGGAGAACACATGTACAATAAAATAAGTCTTTAGATTTATTAAACTCTGCTGTTATTGAATACTACCACACTACATAAAAGCAGTTCTAATATTCACATGTCAAAAACCCCCACACAGACTGCCTCTCTCTTCTCTCTTCACTCTCTCCACTTGAGTATGTAATTTCTGCAAAAAGGCTATTATTTTATTTGTTAACTGTAAACCTTGATGCAGGAATACCATTCAACAGCTTCCAAAAAGACAGTCTGTGAGAAGGAGGCTATCCCAAAATATCTTAAATCTCCAGAATTGGTCTAACAGTCATCTCCACCATTACATGCCATCTGCTAGGAAGCAGCTAAAGATCCAATTTTTTTCCCATGCAATTTAAGGCTTTCTCATTTCCATTCCTTTCTATTTATTCAAACCTGTCATTCAAGTTTTTTCAATTTCAATTATCTTCTAGATTTTTCTGTACGTGGTCTATTCTTCTGCTTACATAATTACCGTGGCCAGAATATCCATAATACAAGATTTCAGTTTAACCTTAAAAGTCCCAGTGGAAAATACAGGCTGGGCCTTTAGTTCCCCTGGAGGACCCTGGCCAAGGGTCTAGCTCAGCAAGTCTACTGTTATAAACACAGCACATGACTAAGTGTTATAAATTGAGTCATTTTGTTGAGAAGAAACCCCTGAACCCTTCTGGTTTGTATGTTACTCTTCTCCTTCAGTTTGGCCACAGAAAGATTGTGGTTTCTGTCTTTTAGCTTTGTTACAACAGACACAATAAAACTGTGAACCCTGCACTGCAAGGAAACAATTTAGACATTACATGTTTTCTCTACCCTGAATGCCCCAGGCTTGGGTCAGACGGGAAATGTTATTTTTGAGAATCTGGCAAAATGTATTTTGTTTGTTTGTTCTACAAAGGTAAAGAATCAATAACAGCAAGAATGAAAAAGGTCAGACCAGACTCCTTCATGTCATCATGCCAACAGGAAGGCCAGCAAACCGAAAGTCTTGAGAAAATTAAGCAAGCAGATCTCAACTTGTGGAGTAGAAGGCAAAGAAAAAAAAAAAAAGAATACACACAAAGCTGATGTGAAAGGTGCTAAAGGCAAAGCAACGATTCCCTCTTGACTTTATTTTGAGCCTAAATATCATTGTAGAGACAGGAGAATCATGGGAGAAGGTGGGTTTTTTTTGTTTGTCTTCATTTTTTACAGACATGCATTTAGATACATGCACATACATACAGGTAACAAGCAAACATACGACAGGGCTCTGAGCCTGCTGAAAAGCAAAGACATAAGCTTAAACACATTCACATAGGATACATACACGTAAACATTAATGAAAACCTTGCTATGCCTAGCATACACTACTGGAGATGCTGTAAGTGAACGTTTCCTGATTGTATAAAGGCTGTACTTTATTACAATACAAAAATATCCACCATTGAAGTGACAAAAAGAACCTTTTACAGCACCTTGAGTTTCCAACTTTTCTAAGTCAATCTTTAAAAAATTTCTATTTGTGTTGTATATTAAGCTTCAACTGTGTATTTCAAACTTCTATGAGAAAAGCCTCCTCTGAATCATCCATCTTCATAAATAACAGTTTTCTGCAAAATACACAGGAATACCACTATACTGAAGCTGTAAGTGTGTGAAAGTAGTCAAAGCACATGGTGCAACTGTTTTCCCAACAGAGCTTCTCATTGAAGCAGTGCTGTAAAACATAATTGCTGTATAGTAATAACCCCAAGTTACTTTCTGAACTGTTTCCCTGTAAAGATATTTTAATGCAAGACTGGCTATAAAATACTATTAACATTCAGATTTGTAGGGTCATAGACTAAAGCCAATGTAAATTTCAGCAATCTCAACATTTTAAGAGATTTAAGAGTCTTCATACAACAACTTTCCAACTCCCTATTGAAACAATTTCCTTCCTTGCAATGACAACTCTGTGGAATATTTCCAGCTATGTTTATTTTCATGTTATTATAAGTTATATAGACTTAAGAGCAAGCAGAAAGATTTTTACATTATATAAAGATAGGATGATACTATCTTTATGAAGTTAACATGGAGTTTTCTTCTTCCTTAAAAAAATTAATCCTGTTATCTTTATTAGCTGACTATCTTCACAAATCTGATGGTGAAAAGAAGTGTCTAAATTGCTGTAGCCCCAAAATGGGACAGAATCACAGACCCCATAACTAGACCCTACTGTATGAATAAATAAATCTGAGCACAACTTGGCAACATATTGCAAGAGAGGTCAGCATCCGCTTTGTTATTCAAGATGATAGGAGAATGTTGACCTCCCGTCTCCTACCAGGGCATCTTTATCCATCTACCTCTGGAGAATAATCACATGCATAGCAATGGGGACAATGAAACACTTTGAAAAAGCACAAGGGAATCACAAGCATTCGTGTGCCTGGAAGAGCATTTAAAAGTACATCTGCCTTAGAATTTTATTAACAAAAGTGCATTTCTGCAGCAGGTCCCAAGTTGTATCCAGAGTCTATTCTTTGATTTAAACAACGGAGAAATTTCTGAATGCAAAAACTGCATTTTTCAGATTAAACTAAATCAAAAGATACTCTCCAGAAGTGCACTTTCTGTGTTCCAACTGATAATGAGCATCCAGACCATGGCAGAAGATTAAAGCTTGCCCAAATAGCTTCCCCAAAACTCACCTAAAGAGCATCCAGACCATGGCAGAAGATTAAGCTTGCCCAAATAGCTTCCCCAAAACTCACACAGTGTTGATACGTGGCATCAGTAATGATTGGCTCACTCAAGAAATCCACTTATATTGTGTCAGACTCTTTCCTGCCAGGGATAAAGACTACAATTCACCCGGATGTGGTTTTTTTTGTTTGTTTTGTGTTTGTTTTGGTTTGTTTTGGTTTGGTTTTTTAAAGGCAAACTCTGTTCCTATTTTATCCTATGTCCACAAAAAGGTGAATTAAATAGAGTGAGTACCCTGTGAAGGAGTCAAATGTCTTTCTTACTTTGCTGGCCTTTACACTTGAACTGACCCAAGTCAGTGAAAAGGAACAGTGACTGTGGTTCATTTGTAGTCTCAAGTAATTTTTATGGCAAGAGCCTTTACAATAAAACAGGGAGTCTAAAGGCTTCACTTAATACAATCTGACATAATTTATATAAAATAATTATATACAACATCAAAGACTCGATATCTTACTAATGAATTAAAGTGGGAAAGTTCTTATTCAAAACCAACTAAATTAAGGAAAAAAAAACTCTCAAGCATTTCTTGGATTTATCTGCACTAATTTAGTGTGAGAACACTGCACTAATACAAGACTTTTATATGAGTAGGAAATGGCATTGAAATTATAAGAAGGAAAACAATGCATTTGTAACTGATTTTACAAACAGTGACATTACAATGAAAACAGTAAAACCGTAATGTATTTAAAAACAAGTAAGAACTTCCTACATCTCCGTTAGCATCCGTGTAGAAAATTCCCTCTTGAACTTACTTGTGGTGCAGTTGTTGAACTCTATGTCATCTATCGCTGCTCCTCCTCCTAGGTCTCTGGTACGAATGCCTTCAAAGATAACTTCAAAATTCCTCAGTTTCCCCAAGTGTAACTCAACTTTGTTCCACTCATCACCATGATTTCCTGATTCACTCCATATATTCACAATCCCATCATCAGTCTGAAGTTTGAATAAAATAGATTTATTAAAATACATGTAAGTATGAATTATCAAATATCAGTTTTGTCAAGAAATGGCAAACACACGCTTTGCTAGGATACTCAGAGAAGCAGCGAAAAGAGATGATTACCATACAAATCACATAAACATCAATAGTAGATGGAGTCTTGGTAGAGAAACTACTGTGTATGATTGAACTCCAAAACAGTCCATTTTGGTAGAGTTGTATTTAACTTTATAAAATACTGGAATTCGTTCTTTGTGTTTAGAATATATTACTGGATGCAAAATTAGTCTACCCTTTTAAAATTAGGGTATCAGATAGGTAGAATCTTAAAAAAGTTCTGACAATGGTAATACAAGGGAGGAAAGACTAACAAATATAAGACAATCACGTTTAGTATAGTTTGTTTGAAGGTAAAGAGTATTCTGACTTTCAAATATGCTAATATATTTCTTCAAATGTCCAATCATATCACCTAAATGTCAGGTCATCGGCAACCAACTTGCTTCATTTTTTAATAATACTATTAGAATGCAGATACGCCAGTTTGAATTGCTGTGAATGGATGATACACACATAGGATGACAATGAAATTAAATATTTGCAAAAGGTTTGCATATATGTCCAAATTTATTTTTCTTTATGACTGTGTGACTAATCATCCAAATTGTAAATGAGAATTTTTTTGCTAGCCTTTTCATATCAAAACCCATTCGTACTCTAGCTAGGGTTAATAAAAACACTGTGCGATGCATCAAACAGCTAAATTCAATGCATAATAAAGGTTCTAAGAAAGTAGTATATGAACAAGCAAAATCTAAGGAAAAATAGAGACAAGAGTAAAAATAGACAGGGAAGAAAATTAATTACATTTCTTTATAGATGATGAATTTGTTAATCAGGTTTACATTAATAAGATTGTCTTATGCATATTTATGATGAGAAAATGAATCTTGGTGCTTTAGATATTGTGTTCTGGATAGGAAAGTGCAGACCAGCATACACAAAAATATTGTATTAGTTGTTTCTGATCAGGGAACTCATAGAATTGCTGCTATCTTTTAGAAGGAGGTCTTCAGACCTACCCAAACATAGTTACTGAACCATGGTTTGCTGATGGTGTTCTGGAAAATCATCATCAACTGTAAACGAGCTAGTTGAAAACAATGGCAACTTTACTTTAAGTTGCTAAATAGGAAAAAAATACAGGGAAGGATCACCATAGCTGCATGTAAAATCCTAGATATTCAGCTGAGCAATTCTATTGCTGCACACTACTAATGGTGTCGGTCTAGTGGTGAAAGCAATCCTTTATAAGTCATGATGACACATGATACATGTCATGTGACACATGATGTGATAGCACACGAACACCTACAGAGGCAAGTTTAGGCATCGCTTCTTCAGTTGTATCTTGCTGGTTTAAAGCCAATGACACAGCCCATTAAAGAGAAAATAATATAGGAGGACCTCTTTGGTGCTTTGCACCCCTTGTTTCACAGTTGATGACAGCCAGTTATGATCTTCTCAACATTTGACTGCCAGTGAGAGCCCTGACTCTGTGTGCTGTCATGTCAGAGATCCATTCATTTAATAGAATCATAGAATCAGAAAATATCTCAAGTTGTATGGGACCCATGAGGATCATCAAATCTAACTCCCTGCTCCTTGCAGGACTACCTAAAACTAAACCATATGACAAAGAGTGTCGTCCAGATGCTCCTTGAGCTCTGACAGGCTTGGTGCCATGACCACTTCCCTGTCCCAGTGAGCAACCACACTCCCTGTGAAGTAGCCCCTTTCAGGTCTATAAGCAATGCAACTAAAGGGGACTGGAATCAGAGGAAGTGTGAGATCGTTTCTAAAACTTCCACCTATGTTTCCACCTGGAAACACAGTGTAGAGAATTCCATATTAATATCGAGCTCAAAAAGGGTAGATACAGTAATTGAAGCTGATTTTAATAGTGGTAAAACAGTTTGGCAAATTTGACTTTACTCATATTATTTCTGTTCATCAAATATGTAGTCAACAATTTAACTTATTTATTTCAGTAACTCAACAATATTCCATTGATTCTGATATTTTTGAGTAACCTCCAAAAAGAGTATTACATATTATTGATGTAACTTGTTTAGTCTGCAAACTTCTTCTATCTGTCCATGACATGAATAAAATGGATGTTTACAATGAGTTACATTTGGCTTTAAGGTCTCCAACATGGAATACAAAAAAAAAACTTAGAAGAGAAGCATTTTTTAACATTTAATCCATTTGCTCTTTCTGGAACCTCTTCTGTCTGCTCTTGAGAACTCTTTGGAATGGAAAAATTTCCCAAACATTATTTATAAGAAATTACTAATTAGTTTTACAAAAGTAGCTCAGCGCTGTGTATTAGTGGTGAATTTAGGAAACTTAAAATGAAGTGGATAATAATAATAATACTAAATGATAAGGGAATTCCTGTACTTTTATGCGTTTAGCATAATAGAAAGCAAGCAAGATAGAAAAATTCAAAACTTGTATCTATTCCAATATTAAGCCCCAAATCTATTAAAAAATTCTATGTGTTTAAGTTTGGAGGTATGGAAGTCAGTGGAGCTTCTGAAAATATACAGATATAAATATTTATATAAAATCTGGAAATGTTAAATGTAGCACAGTTAACCAGAATATGAGACTCACATCTGCTGTTACCTTGATTTTGATTGATTTCACATTGTATTTTATTACATGACATTCTGTTCAGACTTATGTTAAGTTTATCACTTTGATTTTTGAGTAGGGGATGCTGTCAGTAACAAATAATACTGATCACATATTTCTTTAGAAATATCCACATAAAAATGTTGTGGTAATCTATTTGTATATGCTATCATAGCCATAAAGTATCAAATCTTTATGCAGTTACAGGAACTGTGGCATTTTTTTCCACATTGAGACTGAAATACTTTTTGCTAGGAAAACTTTTTTTCAATAGAAACTTCACAGCAGAAAGGCAGTCTCCTTGCACTTCACAAATTCTTGAATATGAGTACACAAATAGAACTCAGAAGAGACACACGTTTCTTTTCCTGTCCAGGTTCAACAGCAGCAATTCCTATAAAACAGCAGCAGTTCATGAAACGTGAAAGGCTGATTTTTCACTTGCTCAGCCAGAGCTCTACATAACAAACTGAAAAGGAACCTAATCCCCTGCATAACTGCATGTAGGCTGTTCTAGTCTGGAGTGAAAAGTGACTTCAAAAACACAAGCCCTGCACATCGTCTGCACAAAACAACCAAGGAAGAGGAAGAGAAAGGGAAAGACAAGCAGGAAACTTGGATCTCCTTCTCTCTCCAGGCCCAGACAGTGGAGCTGGCTTGGCTAAAGGGTGTAAGCTATACGCTTCTTCTGGTTACATGGTTGTCATGAGAGGATCATCGTTTGTAAGCTTTGCAGATTCCATTTCATAAATTACTGTTTTGCTTTCTGCATTCTCCAGCCATAGAATCTGTCTGGTGCTTTGGCATTTCTTTAATATCTTTGGAATGTATTTGCTTCTAAAACAAACACAAATATGGCCTGAGGGAGAAAAAATTCAGTGTGTGCTTTGACCTGCCCATTGCGTCCAGAAATCCTTTGAGATTTTTCACTCTCATATACGCGTATTAATGTAAAAGAGAGATAGGTAAAAGAGATATATGACAATCAGAAGAAATGTGTCTCAGCACAGAGGAGGCTGGAGGCCACACTGACACCTTTCCTTCTGTTTTGTTTTTTTTTTTTAAGGCCATTCTTCTACTGACACAATACTCATACTGAGTGTCTAGATTGCTCTTCGACCTGGGCTGGTGGCAAAAGGCCCAGTTTAACTCTATGCTCCAACAGACTGATAAAAGATGGTTAAGATCTGTGGCTTTGGTGAACAGTATCAGTGCTGCTTGGGGGTGGGGTGGTGGTATGTGATTGTGCTGGCTGTTGGTCAAGGCGGAAAACCCGTTTTCTGCTGACCCTGCAGGAGTTGAGCTGCATGTGGTCCTTTATCAAAAAAAGAAAATAAAAACCAGGTAGCCCTCTCCTGCACTCTAAGCATCATACTCTAGGCTCCACATATCCTTTTTTGCTACACTTACCTGCAGTAATCAGTCTCTCTTTTCCACACATCAACACTTTTGTATCAAAGCCACACTGTTATCTTCCTTACGTCTCATTACATCTGCCTTAGCATTCCTTCCAGTTCAGATTTGTTCACCTCACACTCTGCCTTACATTCCTGTCATCATCCAGTTTCCCATTTGCATCCTCTTACTGCCTGCATTTCTGCTCCAGCTAAGCAGAGTGATAGATAAGATTCTTGCATCACTTAAACCACCAGCCTACTGCCCTCAGCCAAAGAGGATATTCCAAAGTAACATGAAATATAGCATCTAGAAGCCAGTGTACGTGAAAGGACAAACCCTTATCTTTCCAAACAAAAGGCTAAATTGCACTTCTGAACTATAATTTTTGTCTATTACGTATATGAAAGTCTTTGAAAGAGGAGAGAAGAGAGGTTCTCAGATCTCATTGACACAGAATGCACAAGCAAAATATTTTTGTCGTAAAAGCTTAGTCAAAGTCTGTATTTTTAGCAGGACACCTCATTTGACAGCAAAATGTTAACAATGACACATCATTGCTAACACATGACAACCACCAGATTGTTTTCTGTTCAAACTAAAATCTTATGCCCTCTTCAATATCTTTCTGTGGATGTCCCCCTCAGTTGAGGGGAAATGTGGCTAAAATATCTTAATCTTTCTTCCTTATGTTTCCTTTTATGACTTGTGAACAGCCCCACAACCTGCATGCCACTCAAGCTTGTAATTTTATCAGTGCTAAAATACTTCTAAATTCTCATGTGGTCTATATTTTGTAAACTCTTTCTGCATAACATCTCAATGAACATTGTAAGGTAAAATTCAGAAGTTCTCATCATCTCGTAAGTCGAGGACTGGTAAAGCCTTCACCTAA